GTTCTCGATTTGATAAGGTTCTTAAAAAACTGATAAGATAGTTTTGGCGTTCGTTTGCGCTCAGGATCCTCAAAGTCCACGTAGTACATTCCGAACCTCACACTGTAATATGACTATTCATTAAACAGTTGATCATTTTTCGTTTAACTTACGTGTATCCCTTCGCCCATTCAAAGTTGTCCATCAAGGACCAAACTGTATACGCTTTAACTTTAACTTTGTCAATCTGCACGGCGTCTAAGAGGGCATTTAAATGATCCTGTAACCCAAAAATGTTAACAGAACGTAAACTTTCAACGAACTTACGTTATGAAATTTAATATTTTCATAATTGGCGAAATTTTCCTCAACGGGAATGCCGATTTCAGTTACAAAGATTTCGGGATTTCTATAGTTTAACTTGATGTAATTCAGTAGATTCCGGAAACCCCAAGGAACGCTCTGCGGAAAGAACATACAAAATCGTTTTAAAGGAAAACTGTATTACCTTAAAGTATTCAAAAGTGCCCACGAACCATTTCGGATCTGAGTACCTGCTAACGCCGACGTCATTATCCATCGATGGCATCCCAATATGAGGTGCAGGTGCGTCCACTACGTACTGTGTGGTATAGTAGTTCAATCCGAAAAAGTCATAGGTGCCACGAATGTAATTAACTTCCTTGGAGGTAAGAAATGGAAGTCTTGACTGGGGAAATCCCTCCAAAATACTGCGTTCTTTTACGGCATGTTTAACCACAGCTGGAAAGTCTCCTTGATAAGAATAAATGGGGTGTGTGTATAATCCAAACTAAAACAAAATATTTAGAAACGTAATGGCTTAGGACATAAGTTACATCGAACTGTCGATCGCGAGCGGCGGCTTTCTTATCTGCTGTTGAATTTGAACCGCTCTCTTTCCAAGTGCATTCGATCGTTAGGCTAACTCTTCCTAAAATTTTTATTTACCATTGTCTTAAATTGCTAACTTTACCTTTCTGTATGCTCTCAAACTCGTTCTTGTACAAGTGGTACGCTTTGGCATGTGCAAGGAGTACATTGCGTGCACAAATGTATTCGCCAATACCCGAAGATTTTAAAAAAGGAGCCAGCATACCATCACCGTAACCATAATGGCATATCTGCTTTGGTTCATTAATCGTAATCCACAACTTGACCCTATCACCGAAACTGCGATAAACCACTCGCGCGTAGTCTTCGAACCAATCAACAATCAAACCATTGGTCCAGCCTCCCAACTCTTGCAATACTTCAGGAAGATCAAAATGGTAAATTGTTATAATCGGAGTTATGCCGTTGGCGATGAGCTCGTCGATGAGCCTATTATAATACTCGACCCCTTTCATGTTGACCACATTTGCAAAACCATTTGGAAGAATTCTGCTCCACGAAACTGAGAACCGATAGTGGTGAAAGCCTACGGCCTTAATCATCTCGACATCCTCTTTTATCCTGTGATAAGAGTCGCATGCAATGTCACCATTGCTTTGGTCGGAAATATTCTCTGGATGGGCGTGGGTGAAACGATCCCACATGTTTTCACCTTTGCCTAAAAATCCGTTACCAACAAGACTTAGATCAATCACCGGCGTAATTACCATCTTCGTTCCAACCGCCTTCAACTTGGTACGCCGAGGTAGCACAACCGATCATGAAATCATTAGGTAATCGCCTATTGCTTATTACAGCCGGTCTGAAAATTGCTTTAACTGGAACGAAACTGATGTAGAAAAAAATTGCGACCAAAACAAGACGCATGATTCAGGTTTAGTCAGAAGTAAATGTTCGCTACTATTTATAATGATCGCGAATTTTAATAGCGGTAGTATCTCATATTGGTTTCGCAGTTATTGTTGCGGTTTGATATAATCTGTCCTTAATTGTTTATTTAATAATGATTGTTATTGAAATAGATTAGGTACCTTTCCTCTTCGCCCATGCATAAGGATCGGATTAATTGGAACTAATCTACTTGCCCATTTCTGTCCAGGTTGATTAAGTTAATCATCTACTTGAAATCATGCTGGAAGGTTCTATTGCTCACGGGATTTGGCAACGCCTTGGAAGTAGGAAGCCCATAACCAAATTCTGCTTGTGCTTGCTATTACCACATCTCTCCTAATAAAATCTTAGGTTAGTTGCACCGTCCGCTCCGGATATCAGCAACCAATTAGTTTACGAGGCACTTTTAAAGTCTTTATCAACAATGATCATCCAGACTCAGGCTAGAAACCAATTTCGAAAAAAAATTCAAAAGGCTGTCACTTTTGAACTAGTAGCCCAATCTTGGAACTGTTTGAAATTATGGATTCTACAGGCCACATTCTATAAAAAAATTTTTTTCCGGGTCGATCTGAGACAATTTTTTTTCGGGGCTCAAAAAAAGGCAGTGTATAACCTTCCTTTTTTACCAAAAATCGACTACACCAAAATTTCTCGGGAAAACACTTTTTCTTATTAATTTGGGTGCGTAGAATCCAAATCAATTCGTACTTTTTCGATCAGACTTCTCAATCAAAAGTTATAGACTAGAAACGCTGTCCAGACCTGATGCACCTGACTGACTCGCTAGCGCGATAACTTTACGAAAAGTGCAAAACCATGATGTGATTGAATATTAATTTTGCGAGGTATTTCATACTAGTACTACATACAATGCACTTATGTCCAGTATGCAGATAATTTTGACCTGCAAAATTGGTCTAAAGGACTTTATTGTTTTAAACGGTCCATTTGGGTCCAAATAACATGTATTCGAAGAGTGTACTCCAATTTTTTCTCGGCACACCTTTTGTCAGCCAAAAAACATCAAAATGTTTGGAATTTTTTCAGTCCTCTATTTTTAATCCTGTATTTTAATTAAACTTTTTTTTCTATATAAAAACAACTTTAACATTTCAGGAGCGGCGCGTACGTTTAGCAGACGTTGGTTCCTCACGGGCAGGTGGCGGAAGATACAAGTTGTTCTCCTGTTCTGGATTCGTTGTCCCCTCAAGTGTCTCGTCTACGACGTCCATCACTTCCTCTTCCTCGTCTTCCTCGAGTGAAGAAGTATGGGAGTTCTCACACGAAACCCCCGTACAGTGTTTGCAAATTGACTAACACTAAACCTGCTTTTTTGCAGAAGCAGCCTGCAGTGCTGCATCCTCCCTTGCAAGCACGGGAGACGGTCTTGAGGAGGGTATGTGGAGCGCAATCCGTTATCATAGATGTGGGGAAGAGGCCCTGGGAACTAGACCACCACCCCCATAACCATTTCCCAACCATACCTGTACTTGCAGTTAGGTGCGGTATGAATGAAATTTCGCTGCTTCTGATGTGGGGGAGCAGTCGTACTAGTTCGACTTTCTTTATGGACGGCAGCTTCTGAAACGTAGTGAATCGCAGGTCATCCAAACCTCCACCCACGTCGCCAGAGTATATGAGTCTTAGAAGAGCTTAATGGAAACTCGACCAAATACCAATTGTCTTGGACTTGTAGCCAAAGTGTATTATATGTCTATGCATTACAGTCCATATAAATATGGGCGAAAAAGTGTTTTTGGTGTCTTATCTGACAGTTTTCTACAACTCAGTGTGAGTAAACCTAAAAAAGATGCTTGAAGGATTTTTATTTTTGTACATCATACACATATTTACATCAAGTTAAACTGAACATAAATTAATATAGACACTCATTAGTTTTGTGCATTTATTTAAAAAAAAATGTCAAAAAATTGCAATCAACAAAACAATGAATCTCTGTCGTTACTCGAAATCAAATCAGGTAACGTTAATCTCCTCTTCGCTATCATTCGTCGAACTTTCATAGTCCATATTGTCGTATAGATAACTTTGTGTATTGATACAATGCCTTATGTTAACGGCCGATGTAATTTTGTCATCGCCGGTCTGCCGTTCGAGCGGCGAATTCACTGGCGATAAATCGGGTACGTCGCTTAGGTCGAGCTTTGGCTTGTCGTCGGTTGCGTCGCTGAGGTCGGGGTGCGGGTTGTTCTTGTTCGGGAGAGTTTGTTCGCGTGAACCGCCGGCGGCGAGCAGCTCGCGCTCTTTAGAGTTTCTCCACTTCATTCGGCGATTTTGGAACCAGATTTTTACCTGAAAAAGATATAGGTTTAGGTTTAGTCTTTGTATTATACTATGGTTTAGTGCTCTTTAATAAAATAGATGACTAATTAGGCAACATGAAACATTTTCGTTGATTCAATTCATTGTCACCGCACCTTTCGCGCCATGGTAGGTATGTTTTGTGTTCTTTTCGAAGGAATGCTTCGATCTAGTATTGATAGGATCCAGATAATGGACGAAGAGATAACAACAGATTTTGCGCGATGATTAGTAAACGTCTGTCAAGGCAATTCAATTTTCTCTTTACATAGGTTAGAACTAGCGTATAATAGTATATCATGCAATTAGCATTTAATGACAGCTATTAAGACACGAGTATGACAATTTTTTTATGCAGGGTGTCTCAGAATAACTATTTTAATTTTCAGAAAGGGAAGGGCCGATTTCTTATTGATTAAATTTTTTAGTATCAAGCAACCTATGAGGAACAATTATTTTTGTTAGATAAGTATGTTTAATTATCATGAAATTAATCTTTAATATACAGGGTGGCAATTTGAAAACTTACCACCCCCCCATGTGAACGAGATATTTTAAAAAATCAAAATCCGTTTCGGTAATTCGTAGGGGGAATCACAATGACGTAGTTGGCGACGCACCTCCTCCAACCTCCTGATGCGCCCAACCTCCCCAACATTTTGAACATTTCAAGGTAGAAATTTAAATATAATAATTCGTAATTCCTTTGCGTTGTTATTGTATTTGTCTCCCTAACGTTTTAAGTGTAATATCATAATAGACAGAGTTGAGACTGAGTAATTAAGAGGAAACATAAATGTTTCCCATTGCCAACTCTGTTTTTACTACTCTCAGTAATACAAACAGTTTTGTACCTGGTTTTGTATCATGTTGATTTGTCAAAGTAAGTACAAGGAACCTTATATCACTGTAAACAGAAAAAAATGTCAAAGCCAACTATGGTTGCTATTTAAAAAAATTGAAGTTTGCGTTATAACTCACAAATTATAATAGACGAATGGAAATTAATAAATGTATCTATTAAAATGGAAAAAGATCTACAATTTTTGTTCTTTGCATATTTCTGTATTTCTAATAATGATTCTACAACATTTAAAAGAAAAATCACTAAATCTGTTTTTACTCATATCTAGTAAACTGTGGATTTTTTTCAGAAAACAAAACCATATCTTGAAAACGACAACTCTTTCCCCATTTAACCGATTCTCTATGTCTTATGGTTTCCGAGATCCCAATGCTTAAAATGAAAACAAAACTCACCTTGTATTATTATATTCGTTTGTACCCTATTTTTCCAATTTTATTAAGATAAAACTATTTGCGCAACCAACGGTTTCTAAGAGAAACGAAAAAAAACAATCGCAGTGCGTGTTGGGGGTGGTTTTTGGGGGCGAAACCCACACTTTAAAGAACTCTTTTGATTTTGAAAAGTCTCCTTTTGATGCGTCTAATCTCAGCATATCAAAACTTTATAAATTAGTTTTTTTTCTGTTCGGATATTAATATTATAGGTCTAATATGAATATACTAAACAGAGGAACGACGTTTTCTCTAAAAACGTTAAATATAGAATATTATTTTTTCACTCGCGAGAGTGAAAGTCCGTTTCTATGACCACAAAATAGGGACTGAAATGGCAAATTATTCCCTAGGGAAATAATAATAATGAAAACTCCCTGATGCTTATATAATCATTTATTAACACAACTCAAAAAGGTACATTGTTTATATTTAAACTAAACGTGATATTCTCGCATTTTGAGAAATTAATTGGTGGTACCTTATTGATCAACATATTTGAATCAGAAGAACTGGTTTCTGGTATGACATTGCAGATATTAGAACTACAACTATCCCCTTGATTAATCCGATTAGCAATATTAATTTTATTGGCGATACAGTTTTCAATATAACTTTCCGCAACAGTTGTAGATTTCCACCCACCGTGCCGCTTTATAGTGGTAATATCAGCACCCGCGTCCGCTAATAGGGTAGTGGACGATCGGCGCAGACAGTGTCCCGTATATAGTTGGGGGTTTGGTAACTTTAAGAAACTTGCAATCGTTGATGGTACTTTGCCAAGCGTATTCTTGCCAACAGGCTGAGTCGTACATTTTCCATTCTTGTAAAAAATGAAAAATCGTTGATGTTGTATTGTTTCAGGTCTTAGTGCTGCGTACTTGCGAATTAAATGAAGAAAATCTGTACCATCTATGTTTCCTGTTATTACGAAGGTTCTAGATGTCTTGTTTTTGGTAAATGGTAACGTAATTATGAAGGAAGATCCCATATCGTTAACGTTATGCGTGGTTAGATTAACTAATTCGTCAGTGCGACATGCAACACTTATTCCGAAGATTAACACAACCTAATGCAACATTGTTAGTACGAGTATGTTTTTTAAAGCCTAATCTATTTTACCTTTCGCATTAGATGGGCATCATCGTCAGCTTCAGACAAAAATGTTTTCACCTCTTCTCTGTTTAATATCTTTGATTTTTTGGGAGCATACCCATCTGAATTTCTTTTTAGAAATGATACCAGTTTGCGGAATTTACTGATATCGATGTTGTCATATATGAGCATGCAAGACCTCACCATAGAATATTGCGCCCACACCGTGGAACACTTATAATTTTTAGCCTTTTCGCTAAAATAAACCAACATGACATTTTCGGAAAAAGTCTTCACACTTTTTTGTAGGCACCAATCTTTAAAACTGTGGTATGCTGCTTCATACAATTTTTTGGACCTCGCGGGCAGTAAATTGGTAACAGTAGCGTTAGCAGCTTCAGTAATCTCAAAAGGTTCTTCGGAAAAACTAGCAGATTCCATAATTTAGACCCACGCACGTTTTCACAAAAACACGATATTTGTTTATTGGTTGGCATGGAAGTCTAGACAAAGGCATGGAGGTTGCTAACGTGATTATTATTGTGCCCTAATACCTGCTTGTTGCCATGATACAGTTTCAATACTCCACTAACACGATTAAAGGGGTTCTAATGAAAAATCTTTGACTATATTTAAAGTATAAGTAAACATCCTCGCGAGTGAAAAAAATAGTATATACACCGCTGGAGAGAAATGGCGTTTTTCCCTTGGTGCCTTGTGGCCCTCGGGCTTCGCCCTCGGGCAACAATAACACCGCGGGAAAATCAACCATTTCTCTCCCTTAATGTATAATGTACTATTAAGTAGTCTCTATTCAATAATGATGCATATTGGAAAAGTAGTAAAAATAGAGAAATTTGGTTACAAAATGTTCCTGTGGATTTTTGTCATCCTTTTGGAAGATAAGAACGGAAAGCGTTAGATGACATAACCTTCTCCTTTGTGGGTTTTCGGAAACATCATAAACAGTTTGAAAGTCTATATGCACTATCTCGAATTTTCAATCGATGTTTCTCAACAAACTGAAATGAAAAGGAATATAAAACTTACACGATGATTATCTCGTGGAAACCCCATTCCCCACACCGCGCTAATGAAAATAAAACAATCTGCACAAAGTGTTTCAAACAGTACACTGAAAGAGCAATAAATTTTTTGACAACCCACATTCAAAAGAGAACGTGCAGGTTTCTCAAGTTATAAAATGGAGAAGAATTGCGAATTTTTCCCTTAAGGGAGCGATTTCGCAGATTACCACTTTCGGAGAGCATATACATTAAGGGTAGGGTAAATTCATTTTCTATTGGTTAGAATTCTTCTTATACAGTCTTCCTACGTTCCGCCTAGTTATTTTATGCGTTATTTTCACCCTTAAAACTGGGGTTGATAACGACCGTTTTAAACGCATTGTTTGTTAAATCAAAACCCCTTTCACGATTAAATCTACTTTTGTTGCTTTACTAATTATAATTATGGCGAGAGCTGGGTATTTAATCTAAACTCGTCTTTTGTACCTAATTAATTCTAACGACATTATAAAGGGCTTTGTGATAAAATGGGGAAAAGATCAAAGTTGCGCGTATACGCTGAGATTTTTAAGAATCACGGCTGATCGATGACATATCTTTAGTGTGTTTCTCTCCCTAAATACCTAACCATTGCGTTAGATCTGCGGCATATGTTTTTGATGGGCAAGTAACAAGGGGACGTCTTTATGGAAGGCAAAAAGAATCGGGGCGTCTATGTAAATTCACCTGAAATCGCCTATAATGAGAGGCATTATAAATAATCCATAAAGCTTGGATTATGTCAACAGTTGTTTCATCTCCATAATATGGATGGAAGCCCTCTTACACAGTCAGTCAAGATTAAAGATCGATAAGTAACAGAGATTGTATTAAATCGTCAGTCCCAACCAGGACCGCAAACTGATTTATGGGATTCATTGATGCTTGGAGTGCTAATTGCTTTTGTGGAAACTATTATAATTACATAATTACGTACAGTTAATCCGACGCTTTTCGCTTACGTTTCATTTCGCTCCCAAATTCGCTTTTAAGACTAAGGGGGAAAAGTACAATAATATCGAACGTATTTACATAACAATAAGCGATATACCCCAAAATTAATAAGAACGTAATTCATTTTCTTCTCGTTTCGTGGAAATTTCGTTATGGTTTCGGGGGTTGATTACAACTCACAGAACCTGAAAAGTGACATGTTCTAATTGAAATTGAAGTGTCAGTGGTAAACTATTCTTTTTACTGCCTTTACTTTGTCTTTTAATTTAATTAAATAGTGCACATATTATCTCTCTTGAAAGTGACCTACAATTGTGTGAAAAGTATCACTTTCAACGCTCGTTACGGAATATAATATTTCATAACAAAAACCTTTTGCAACTTTCGAGTTAATTTTGTCACTATCCTTCGAATTTAGCTTCCTCAAATGATTCACATTTTTCTTATTCTTATGATTTTTCTTATGTGATGGTTTTTCCGTCTCTCGGTCTGTTCCTAATCTAACTCGAGAACGAAACTATACGCGATTTTTCGTGCCTTGTTAAAATTCTTCATGAGTTTATAAGATACTGTAATTCTTGGTACTTCTCGGTCCATATAACTTCTTCAGATTTTTCAAACCCTTCTAGGATTATATCAAAAAAATCCTCTATTCCCAAATTTTCTCTTTTGACAAAGTTATAATTGTCTATTCCTGCACTACTTCCTCTTTTGTATTCATTTTCATTTTATAAAATGGAGATATGTTTTGCCTGTTCCTCAAACTACTGTCTACTGGAAAATACTATTGATCTGAAATTTGCGTAAAATATAGTATAAAATATTTCTTGTACCACAAAATTTCTCCTCCGCCCGTTCTTCCTTGCTTTTCAGTTACTTTGAATCGGAAAGGGAAGGAAATAAATTAATTATTTGATTTCATTATTAGTTAGGTACCTATAGAAAAAAGTAGAGAACGCGCCTGATGGTCAGTTCTTTAGATTAAATATACCACTTTTTTTAATTTAATACAAGGTCTCTGCGAATTCTTCAAGTTCTTAGAATGCTTTTGATATTTCAAACTATTTAGATTCTTACGATTCTTCCGTTACTCCGGTTTTTTCTTCTTCATTCAATTCCTCGGATTTTTGGGCTTCTTCAAACACTCTACGAATTCTTTAAAATCTCCAAGTACATTGCTCACATCTTTCGAATTTTGTAATTCTTTCAGTTCTTGCAATTCCTCAAATTTTGAGTCCGTGAACACTTTAGTAGATTGAAGAAATTCGAAAACCTCAAACTTTCAGTAGTCGCAAAGCGAACCCACACTTGTGTATAAATAGTATTTTACATTATTAGCCAGGTAAGTGAGTTTTACTGACGATACAAGTTGACTGATGAGCCGATGGGTGACCCCGTCATCCCTTAGAGCCGGTAAAAACTATTACCTGGCGTATAATGTACAATGTTTTATTTGTTACTCATTTATAAACCATACTAAACATAAATAATTACTTCTTAAATTGATCTCGAAGAAATGTCTATCCATGTAACAAAGCCTATATGCATTATATTTTATTGATGTATTGCTCCATATGTAAATTATTTATGATATACAGGGTGACACTTTTAAAACTTTCAATGGGCGATATCGTTTTTTATATTAGAGGTAGCACAAAATGGCCAAAATCGTTTCGGTAGAATCGAGGGGGAAGCAAAATGGTCGTATAAAGAAGGAACCAACTTCAACCTCGTACCCCCCGCCACCCCATGCCTAAATTTTGAATTGTGACGTATCACTTGTGATACATCATTGGAAAGCTCTTAAAAAATGCTTTTCAGAAATACCAACACTGGTGCATTTAAACTGCCCATTCACAATTTATGTAATAAAAATGAGTAATTTGAGTATTTGATGAATTTGTCAGTGTTTGAAATAAAAAAAAATTCTTAGATCTAGTGATGCTTTGGAAAAACAATGACAGCAATTTTTAGTAAATAATAATTTTCTATTGCTTTATTTGTTGATCGGTTATTATTATTTTAGTCTCGTTTTTAGTATTTCTTGGCAAGAAAATTACAAATTTTGAATTTAACTAAAGATTTCATAATGGTGTACACGTTAGCCGAAAGAGTTGAAATTATTTTCATCTATGGTTCTGAAGCGCGATCTGCATTTAGAACAGCAGCTGTTTTTAATGCCCGACACCCAGAACGACGTGTCAGTCACACTTATGTTGCAATGTTAGTGACTAAATTTGAAGAAACTGGGTCAGTGGAAAATAAGAAAAGAAAAGGACCAAGAATAATGGATGAAGCTACTCAGATTGAAGTTTTAGGTCATTTTGGTGCAAACCCAACATCATCTATTCGAAAAGCAGCGACTATGACCGGACTTTCGCGAGAAACTGTACGACGAACTCTTAAGGTGCACAAATTCTACCCTTATAAGATGCAGATTGTACAGGAACTAACCGAAGACGACTCCGATCGAAGAATCCAATTTTGTGAAATAATGACCGAGAATATTCAAAATAATCCGGAACTGGTGAAAAACATTTGTTTTAGTGATGAATGTACATTCTTTTTAAATGGAAATGTGAACAAACATAACTGCCGGTATTGGGACGATAAAAATCCTCATCTTTTTCGCGAGGGGCATACTCAACGGCCCCAAAAAATTAACGTCTGGGCAGGTATCTTAGGTGATAGCATTATTGGTCCTCTGTTTATCGAAGGAAATTTAACTGGAGATACTTACCTAAACATGCTACAAAATACCGTGGAGCCTCTCATCACTCATGAAACAGAGAATCAAATAAATCCAATTGGCGGGAACATGAATTTGATTGAAGATTTCATACATTTTCAACAAGATGGGGCTCCTCCTTTATTACTCTATGGCTGTTCGTGAATTTTTAGATGAGAAATTTCCGGGACAGTGGATAGGACGAAGAGGTCCTATAGAATGGCCAGCACGATCTCCAGATCTGACACCATTGGATTTCTTTCTTTGGGGTCATTTAAAATCGGTTGTGTACAAAACTGAACCAGCTTCCATAAATGATCTGCGCTACCGGATAGTCGGGGAGTGCCGTTCACTTTCCAGCGAAGTGTTTAAAAATGTTAGAAATGCAACTCTCATCTCATGTATATTCTCAACATCTCTTATACGACACAAACTACTTGCTTATGATACATGACCAATATTCCAGAAATAATTGGTAATTTAATAGTTATTTGTTATAGAAGACGATAAAGGGATGTTTTAACCGTCGAGAGAATTAACTTTCACGAGATGGTTAGTTTCCCTTTTATCGTCGTGTATAATATAAAACTTTACCTAGGTATTATAAAACTTCTGAAATCTAAACTTGCAGTTAAAGTGAAAACTTCCTCTACTCTTATTGTTAAAGAGAGGCTTAGGTACTCATTTAAACCTATTAAAATGTCAATTATAAAATATAAGTGTCTCAAATACGTTTAAGTGTGTTGCATGGGTAGTTAGGTTACCTACCTAATCTTGACCATTCATTACCAGACAGGTTTCTCGCAATCGAAAAGAATATGAGCGGTTCCCGCAAGAATGCTTCGCACTCACCTGACTATCTTTCAACCCCAGCTTCTCGGCAAGCTTCTTTCGATCTGGTTTGCTTATATACTTCTGAATTTGAAACCTCCTCTCTAATCCCTTCCGTTGTAGATCGCTGAACACGGCTCTTCTCATCATCCCTCGCCTCGGTTTACCTCGTCCACTGTGAGCCCATGGAAACGTCCCCGGCAACGGGAACACCGTCGTTTGCGCACCGGAAACCGGAGCGGCTACTGCAAAAGACAGTGCTTTTACTCACCTTCCTCTTGGGTCGCGGTTTACGAACCTGTTAAATAAGGCTGCGGTCGACAGTGTGCCAATAACAAATGTGGATTGAAATGTGGTCTACTCGCGACCGGCTTTGCAATTCCCGATCCATGATTGTTGAGATAAGTTCCTAATCCGACGAGATTCGGGGGCGCTACGTGTATTAAATTATCTGAAACACACACAAAATGGGTTAGCGAGAGAGTCTCTCTGTTTGTGCGCGCGTTTATGGAAAGGATATAAAGGATAACGCATGAAGTGTTAAAGTTGTCAGCCTCCGGCAACTTTTAGTGTGGAGAAAACGACGTCACACACTCCAACACCTCCACCAAGTGCGCCCTCGGTAACGCCCACCTTAAAAATACTTCTATTTCGCGGATATTCACCCCTCTTATTATTTTAACTTGATTTCCAACTTTTACCTACGAAAGCGTTATTAAGATCGACCAAGGCGGAACGTAAAAAATTGTACAAAGAAATGTTATTACAAGATTCATTCGTAAATTTATTGAAAGCCCCGTTACCAAGTTATAAATAAATATAGGGAGGCCAATAAAAATTGCCCGAAGGGAGAGGTTAATCTCAACTGTAAATAGCGAGTCTCATGTAGGATTACTTTTAAAAAATCTATTGTAACCGCACAATGGAGTGGTTTGTTGTATACAATAAATAGATACAAGCATAAAGGGATGTTTTTCCAACGTGTTATAGCCGGGGATTTATTTTTTTGCACCCTTCAAATCGTTTAAAATAATACGTCGCCTTTTTGTATACAGTTTTGTTCCTATTATATGTGTTACGCGTTTCGTTTGCTTTATATTTTCTTCATTGCCGGAAAGAAATTTTTATTGACGTAGAATGCTATTGAAAAGGTTATTATTTTTAAATTAAATGGGCTATGAATAACAGTAATGCTATCGGTACCTGGAAACATTCGATTTGGTCCAACTACCACAGCTATAATCGAATATTGTTTATTAGACGCAATTTGTACAGAAATGAATTGAAAACGGAACGGGGCTCTAGGTTTGGTTAGTTAAAAGTAAATTTTTGAAAAACGTTCAGATTCGACTTGAAGAGGCCATTTTTAATAGCAAACAACACCCACTATGTCCATGAAGTTAGTCCCAACCAAATATATCAGACAGCCATCGAGCATGTTACTTCGTTAATATTTCATTAGAGCTCGTTATTAGTGCTCCATCAAGCTGCGTTAGTACCTCAACGGTTTTCTCGGGAAAAGGATTTCTTTTTGGTTCGAGCTAACTTCACATTTGCCCGAAACAACGAACTAATTTCCGGCAAGTTCAGGTCAATCGTTAGTCCTCATTAGTGTTCAATAAATCAGCATTAGCAGTAGGAGCAAAGTAGGACGCTATTGATTTTCAGAAAGCTGGCTCAACAGGAAGCAAAGTTGTAGGACTTCGAGTGAATAGTGAACAGGAAAAACTGTGAGCTTAATGTAATATAGAAATCAACATATTTCGTTTCCTAGGTCATGCATCAAATTCAGACTTTCGCTAGATTATTCCCTATACTTATGACTCTTAGATGTGTAATCATTATAGCTCCTCTGTGTTGTCTAGGTCAAACGTTTTAGAGCAAAATGTATCCAAAATTATTCTTCACACATGAATTTCAAACGCATTAAACGGATTATCTTGATGCCGCAAGAATAGGTACATCACATGGACATTTGATAACCGCGTGTGTTTGATTCAAAGATGTTAATTTTTTTTCTGAGGCCACATGTATTTCGATCGAAACATATCAAAATCGTTATTCATGCACCAAGATCGTTGGAAAAAAGACTAAGAGCATTATCTCAATGCTCCAAGACATGAATTTGAAGCATATTTGTTGACTAGGTCTATGTATTTTGCAAGGTTAAAATAAATGGCCTATAAAAAAGTGATGGTAATGCTGAAGATTCTTCGATATTCCGTTGTATCGGTTTATTGTTATTTAATAATGTTAGAAAGTTTATTATTTAATCTTTGAAAAAATTATGAAATGCTTTTTTGAACAAAAAGTGGCATGAGCATCTTTTAAATAGGAAAAAAACAAAAATTATGTTAAATTCTGCTTGACTCCAATGTTTATTATATCTGCATGGGTATATACTTCCCCTTATGACCATAGTATCTGTGTAACGTTCATTCAATGGTCATTTCTTTGGTGAAAATAAAATGCTTAAATTCATTGAACTATGTACGTACACATCTTATTTGCATTTTTGCATTTTTTAGTAACCAAAATAAAAGCATTGCATTAACTTATGGAATTGCAGTTTTTAATCGTAGTGCAGTGCAAACAATATAATATTTTTAAATGAATTAGTATTACTTTTATATCGCGTACTGCAGCAATAATTGTAAAGATTGCGACTAATTTTTACTAAAATGCATTTGCACTAAAAAAACGAATTTAAATAAGCACGAAGGAAATCGCAAATAAACGTTGCGCTGGATTGTTATAGGTTTGACATCCATAAACAATGGGATGGATTATGCGCTTCTAAATTAATGATTACTAAATGACAAGTCTAAAAAAAGAGGTGAATGTTAAAACAGGAGTTACAAATCAGAACCTATCTTCTTACCTACAGTTTATAATAGTTTTTAGGTTGTGGCTTTTTGATGGGGCATGATAGAATCTGGAGATTCTTTCAGCCGTTATAGGTAAGTATCTGACCAACATTTCGGTCTAGTAGCACTCGAGTTTATGGGATGAACGCGTATTTGGGAAAATGCACAGAAATTACCACTACTTTTTAACTGTCTACAGCGAATTATTGCTGTCAAAACTCCGTGCGTGCGGAATTAGGGGCGTACTGTTAAATTTATTAAAATAGTTTGTTAGTGACAGATACCAATATGTTGTAATTGACAAAGTCCATAGTTCGGGACAAATATTTGAAGTAAAGTCACACGTAGGTACATAAGTAAAGGATACCAGAGGAGGGACTACGTCCAAGTGGAACTAACGGCGATTATATCTATTTGCTCTTTTAGGAGTGGCGCTCAAAAATCGAAATTACTTGTAAATGAAAGCTCTTAAATAGCTCGTAATTCCAGTACAAAATTTAATTTGAAAAAAGTAATTCTGATCAGTGGGGGGCTGAATCCAAGTAGACTCGGCCACCCCATAAGAAATGTTCGATTCCTAGTGATTAAAGCGAGCTCTAAAAGTTTAAGCTTGCGATATGAAAAGCTCCTAAGTAGCTCATAAATTGGACACCATTCTTAAATTGATTCACAATGGTGGGTGGGCTAGGTCCAGCGGGGTGGTGTACTCGTATTATTTTACTAACAGCGCCAATGTGTTTAGAAATACTCCTCTAGTCTTTTTGTCTCCATTCATATAAAAGTTTGAGAGTATGAAGTCACTATATAAGCTTGATCAACACTATACGATTGATACAATGAGGATAAAGTATTTGGTCAGTAGACTTGTTTAACGGTGCAAAATTAATTGCGACCAGACGAAGGGCGACGATTTGAAATGGTTGACTTAAAAGAGACTGGAAGCGATGCAGCGTCGCAGCGTTTTATCTACCTACCTCCAATTACTGTGACCCTTGAAATCGGTTCGTCGATTTTTTTTTGTAGTAAAGCACTAACTATAAAGGTAAAGGGGGCGGATGTAGGATTCTGGGGCAAGTGACAACCGAAAAAAAGAGTTAGGGACTTCAGCTCCCCAGGCTAAGAAGCGAGGGTGTAAATGATAATGATACAGAGTGGGTTGTGCATGCTGGCCCTTGAGTTTCTTCATAATATTCAAAGCGGACTTGTAACCCAAATATACAGAATGAGCCAAAGGTTTTGGCGTGTTCTCCCACAACCGAATTCTAATTGCATTTATTTGTGTACTTCCTTAACACGTATAGGTATGGGCCCCATCGCAGTTTGATACAGCGTGGCGAATTAACGTGGACCACCTACGCCACTGCAGTTCGAGAAACAGTCGAGTCCAGTAACGCGAGTAATACTGTGGGTGGGTGATTTACGGTAAGTTTGTCGCCATGTTAATAATTAACATTTCTCTGTTAGTTAATTGTCTACCCAACCTTTATATCTACTACTATTGATTTAATCGTGTTTATGTGTCTGCCCGTCCTTCTGCGGGATAACTTAGGAAATAAAGCGAATTTTCGAATTCCGTTTTCTGTCTCGAACGAGTTTGTTAATCAGCCGTGGACTGTTTGTAGGGTAAACCGGCGCCCTCTTGTTTCCTTTCGATGGTGGAACAGTAGACTAGAAGGTTTTGCCAATTGTCTAGTAATTTCGTAAGCCACATGTTTCCAGTTTCACACACAAACTCGATTGACGATCATAAAAACTTTCAATCCAGTATGTTGGCTGACAGTGCGACCACATCACGAATATGTATAGACAATTGCAAAGAAAGCGTCTGAATGTGCATGCGGTAAATAAATAAAGAATGTTAGGTTATATATTAAAAACGCAAACACGAGCGCCGGGCACCAGAGGGGGTAGTTATGCGAGGCACTTTTTTTCTGATATTAAGCTCATAACCTGGGCGAAAAATCTGAGTATGTAAATGCGCTATTTAATACTCCCTTCTCTGTATTTTTTCTGATTTATACGACATCTCACCATAGAAATAGCATAAAATAAAATCCGAATATTCCTCTAAAGTCAATTTATTCCCGAATTTAGCATTCGAAACGCGCCGTTTGAATTAATACGTGTAAATGCGCCGCATGTTTTTTCGACAGGCCTCCGAAAAGATTTAGTTTCGGTTCGAAGGAAAGTGGCCTTTATGAGCTCAGATATAAAGGTGGATACTATAAGGGTAGCTAAGTGCCGCACCAGCTGACGCCGTTCAAATCAACCCCTTGTAGTCCTGCTCTAGATTTTCGTATAGCGGTTCATCTTATGAATACTCGTTGTGTTTATACAAAACCTACTACTGTTGCCAACATGAATTATTTTAACCCTATAATAGAACTTTCATGAATACGACAAAGTTTGTTGTTAGTTGCATTCGTCATTTACGCGAACCACTTCCTAACGAAATTGAAAATCACTGACTCAACTTCGACGTCAGGCACATCAAAAAGAAAAGCATTTATTTTTTCAAACTGTCTTATCTTACTTCTAAAATTCCGTGTACGGATTTTTAATGAAATCAATCAAAGTATATATTTTATGATCGTTACTTAAGTATGATACCCTCAGTATACGTATATACAACATCCAATTTGAGAGGATTTGAAGATTGTTGGTGATATTTTATATTTTTGAACACTAATTTCAGCTTCAATATTTCCTGTACAAAATAAATTTTTGGCAAGTTTAATTTATGGATTAAAAAAAGACTCTAGTCTTACATTCCAAATGTAAGTCAAATACAACATATTTTTTCTTCGAGCTCGTACCAAAATGGATCAAAATTTACTTCGAAGGTAGGAAATTTTGATTTTAGGAGGAAAATGTGACGCCTTTTTCATAGGAGAAACGAAGTTCAGTTTTCTAGTAGATAGGTACCTACTCCTATGCAGATGTGTTGCATGAAAAATGTAGCAATGTTAAATGTTTACAATCGCTTGCACAAAAAATGAACTTTAGATCACTAGTTTGAATAACCAAATTAGCGCAGTGCAACACATGAGCGTTAGGAGCGTAACCATTTAAAATAATTGGATATTGTTTCCCAAACTAGTAGACGTATAAGGTGCAAACGATTGTATATTTACACATAATTCAATTGAGATTTGGGTTAGAGGTAAAACAGGGTATGTAATTTGTACAAAAAGTACCATCTTTGACCCGAAAATGCAACAATTGGTGATCAAATAATAATACAATATTTTCCTACCAAATGTGGATGGCCTTATAAAAGAAAAAACCCAAATGCTGTACGTGGTGGTGGTAATTGTCAAACGTTTGGACGAAAATTCAAAAATTTGTTAAAGGCGACTCCGTAAAAGTTTCGCAATATGATAGGACGATTTTAAAGAGAGTTTCATTACGTGCTTAAGAATGTAAAAAAGCGTCAAACTCAAATAAATTTGGACGCGTTGGAAGGTTTACGAAATCTGCAAATACTCGGTAACTGCGGAATTAAATAAGCATTTAGGATACAAAAGCTTTGTCATTTGTTTCACTATGGGAACCCGTTTACAAATATACAGTTGATATTGGTAGATATATAGCTCAATTCTTAATGCAAGAATTTCACCCGCAACAAAAAAATCGAGAAAAAAATCTTTTGTCTTTAGCATAGGTATACAAAGTTGGCCAAAGCAGACGCATATTTATGAAAACCATTGGTGTAGCTAAGGATTTTGGAGGGTAAAGCATGATTAGAGCAAGAAGGGGCAGGAAGAGGCTCCGTTTACCGAAAGTTTGATTGAGTTAGACTATCACTAGCGTTAGTGTTCTAATGAGAAGTTCAGAAATTGCCTGACGAAAGTGATGGTAACTCAAAACTGGATGAAATTTATAAGAAAAATCTCTGCGGCAAACAGACTTCCATGACGGTCCTTAAGTCATTAAAGATAATTGATTTTTAATAGGTAGAACTTTCTGAAAGAAATTTTTGATGTCGAATAAGCTGGCTTAGTATGTATAGGACAATGTCGTGTATGAAAAAGTAGTCAAAAAGTAACAAACTACAACAAAATTTACCTTTGTCATGTAGGTATCTTTAGTAACAATTGTCTTTAAGAACCGTTCATAACCTACATGTCCCAGGTTGAATGCACCATAAGCCAACATAATTAATGTGTTTTTTTGCGAAGGATCCACGAGGTCCTTTGATATATTTATTTATTTACTTTGAATATAGACTACTAATTATAATCAAAGTTTATTTATTTGTCCCTCTCTTGTTCTGGGCCCTCAAAAGGCTTGCGCCCAATTACAGAGTAAAAATAGCATTCAACGTACGTTATTGCGCTTGCTTGATCCTAGAAAGAGATTTCAAAGGTCTCGTGGATCCTTCGCGAAAAAATACATTGCCGTTTCCCTATGGTGCGTTCTACCTGGGACACACTGTACCTATAGATTATATTGAATATGACTGCACAAGACAACAATTGGACCACGTGTGGCACAAATTTTCCGCTTTCGATCTGTAATTCTACTGTGTCAGTCCATTTGGGTAAATTTTGTCCAAATACCGCGTACATTTTGGCGTTAACAACGTGGAAATTAATTTCTCCAAAGTTTCGAGTAACGCCACGCAAACTTCTAGAAAAGTACCATGTATTTTAAGCATAATTATTGTAGATAAAAATCTTCCGAAATAGGATCAGGATAGACATTTTTCGGTTTAAAAGTAGCAAAACACAGTTACGTACCATTTCTGTTCTTTTCGGGTTCGTCATTACCCAAAATGGCACTGACACTAAATTTAAGTACAGGTTTATTATCCTTAATAATGCCGTCACTGTGCATTCTACACTGTAAAAAGTTGCAATCTAAACGTCCACAATGCGAACATATCCGACTCTTTAAACAGTTATTGAAATTGAAATAATTGTCAGTTTTTTCGATAGGCGAAAGGCGATCACTTTCGACGTCACCGCGATTCGCATCGCAAGGACTTAGGGAACTTTTAGAATTGTCCTGTATTCTTAAATTGTCCTCGGCGTTTTCCTCCTTGCCGTTAATGTTGATTACTAGATTTTCGGGTGACATTTTGCCATTCGGTTGCATTTTCGCCAGAAGGTTTTCCATGGCGAACGGCGAGGTATGATTTAAACTTTTCAGCATACGCTCTTGGTGATGGAAAAATTGCAAGGTACTTTGATACATTCTCGAACTGTCATAGGTCACATAAAAAAATAGATTCGAAACGCGATTACGAGGGATATAGATGCAGAGGTTTATGTTGAATGCGCAGAAGTTGGTTTATAACTGATTGGAATGTGAAACCACCCCTAGCAAGGACTAAGGGGTGGGTCTTCAATTTCAGAAGGGGAGGTCCTTCTTACAGTTAAATTTTATTGTCCTTTATAGGACTATTAATATATTACCCTTTAATTGTTTGCGCGAACTTCATCATACGCAAGTCTCGACTGTTCCGTGTCCATTGCCTTCAAAACGCACGTTTCACATCATTCCTTAAAGACGAAAGCACTCTCATAGTGGCACGTATAGGTAAAATAAATCAGTTATAGTAAAAAAAAATGTTGCCGTTTAGTTGTCCGGGAGTCCGGTCGAATTTTTCCTTTTCTTACGTGAAAAAAAGAAAAAAAAACTAAAACATCGATTTAAAACAAGCGAGCATTTTTGGTGGGGTTGTTCTAAGAACCAATGAAAATACTTTGTAAATAAGACCCGCCTCATACGTAATCAAACATAATCTCTTATCTCATGCATTTTATTTCTTTTTTATTTGCTAAAAACTACCCCAACACCATCTCGGAAACTTTCCACCTTATGGTTATCAGCGCGATAGTTTCATAACCATACCCGCTTACAACCCCTTAATTGCAAAGAATTCATAGCGAAAGACACCAATAAAACAAGCATCGGCGAATTAACAGTATATACGCCGAGGAGGCGGAAGAAGAAAAAAGGAACTAAAAATGAAAAATGCTTCCCTAAAATTCCACTGCGTCTGACAGCTGCCTTTCAAAATAAATTTAACAAATTGTTTCCGATAATTTTAAAACATTTTCGGTATGCTTTCGAAATCGCGTTTAATTCAAAACGTCCGCTGCGAATTACTCGCTGACGTTGAATTAATAAAAACTAATTAAAACTGTAACTGAATTTATAAATTCTTAATTTTTCCGCTACCTCACCCGTCGCCGTTCGCTAATCAAGAAATATCTTCGGAAAATCTCTAATTAAAAAACCGGGGGGATCTTTTTAATCAGTATTGTCTCCTGTAATGGTTAGTAGAGACTAATTAAAACAAATCGTCAATTACTTTTCGAACTGGAAATGGCACTGACTAAACGAAATTCGAACAAGACACAGATCAAACAAATAGGTACTATAATGGCTTGCATTGAAGTTCATATTTTACCATAGTAATATCAAGTTCTCCAAATTGAGGTACCTACCTACTTGAAAATGAATTCCAAAGATCCGAAAAGGTTCACTATAGCGCAAACCGACCTGGTTGGATAAGTTGCTTTTACATGCGTCTAACTCTTCACCTTTCAAACCTCCGGATCAAATTTTTGCGTAAACTTCTCAGGCTTTTGAAACCAAGGGCTTCAAGTTTTAACGTTTAACGGAACTTCAGACTACAAGGTTACATGATTTACCTTTAATTTGTAAATTTCAGCATGGAATTCAATCTACACGGTTCTAGTTTTGAGGCTTCAGTCACAGTATCGTCGTAAAGAACTTAAACCCGTAAGCTTCGGCTCTCAAGATCTGTATCCCATAAAATAATCATAACCATCTTATCTTCAGTAAAGAAATAGTAGCATAGGAAGAGAGCTCTGTTCCGACGCTTCCAGCAATTCACTCTGAAACAAAGAAAAGACACAAGGAACTTGCGTTAATCCACTCGGTCCTTGAAATGCCGATTGCTTAAGGAGCCAAAATACTTGTATTCCAAAATCAATTCGATCATGTGTCAATAGGCTAGTGTAGCTAAGTACTCATTAATAACTTTCAAAATTCAAAGAAAATTAGCATTGGTGTAATCCCTTAAAGAAGAATTCTTACCCATTACGTATAACAAATTTAATTAATTGAAGAAAAGACAAGTTAACATAAATGACCTCTTGACCCAATTTCGTTATCTTCGCTCCAAGTGCCGTTTGTTGTAGGTAAGGTAAGGTGTTTTCCTTATACACACGTCAGCATTACCCAAATTAATGTACGTCAAATAGGTCAAAGTACAATTGAACAGGTATCAATGACAAACCCTGTAAAGAAATCACAAGTCAAATTCCTTCAAAAACACCAAATGTAATTAAACTTACCTCTGATTAATAAGAGGGTTATTTAGAAAAACATGTACTAATACGACAACGATTAAAAATTAAATTGGGTCAAACTTCGAATAGCACAATCGTATTCACCAGAATTCAATTACATCCCAAAAGTACTTCGAAAATCCCACCAACAATAAGAATAGATGCTTCAGAATCTCGCATTTACACCGTCAATGAATTTTTAGGGATGAGCACAAGTATAGGTACTCTTAAAATGTACCGACGAATAAATGCTAACAGGGAAGAAGGAAAGAAATTAAAAAGTAAATTAGCATGCGCATTGCACTTGTTTTTTAAGACCCCCAGTAAGAATTCGATGTAATAATTGGAAACTACAGTGCAATTCGGCCCTTCTATGCCTATGAATACGTGTACCAAATTTTGTTACAAATGGTTCAGCCGTTTAACCGGAAACGAGAGTTCAGACGGGCCGACAGACCGACATCATCGAGATTTGTTTGATTCGAATTCATGGTGCTTCAAAATGTGTATTTCCGTAGAAAAAAGTGGGGGGGGGTCATGTTTTAACCCCAATGCAAATCCCCCCTTACTAATGCGCGAGTGGTAAAAACGGAGTCGAAGACGTCAAAAATGGGCGCAGCTCAGAAAGACTTATTTTTGTGAGTACTCGGGAAAATATTGCTTCGTTTTATTATATGATTTTATAAGAACGGCGAATTTGACTTAACACAGGAAACCTTGCACATGTCCTACGAAAGTCTGTTTCACATTGTTCATTTCGATTTGGTAATGAGTATATTTTTTTAAAAGTTCCTGTCCACAAGTAGTTGCAAGCAGGCTCCAGAGATTAGGCCTATTTGGAACTTAATTGGATCTTAATTTTTAGCCTAAACAATTAATCTTCAATCTTCAGGACCAAGCTTTAGTCTTCTTTCTTCTAATTCCATAACCCAACGTTACAGCTTTAGATTAACCCTTCATTGTTCTGGCTGTGGGATCAAATTCGCAGGATTTAAGTTTATAGCTTCGAGACTTCAGGCTAACGGTTTCAAATTATTGTGTTCTTTGGATTTCAAGTTTCAACGCCCAGTCCAAGTGAAACTGTTGACTATTATATTCGTGAAGCGATGCACAGAGCATATGTCTAAAAATTGGTATAAAATGTGTCGTCTTTAAGGGTGGTATGAGAAAAATTTAGTGCAACCAGCAAAAGGAAAGCATATACCATGAATTACGAGTATTTGCCGCATTGTTTGGTAAAGTACGGTACTATTGCTTTGGTTCATTTGTGTCTATATCTGACGATTTAATGTTGTAATACATGTACAGGGTCCTGCAAGAGTAGGTTTGTATATCCTAGCTTATACTCGTAGGTACCTCGTAAAAAATATAAGAAAAAACCTTTTGTGCAAATGTCAACTATAGATGGTTGTGCATCTACACCAATTATTTTTGAATGTACGGTGCAAATAACTGTTTTTTTTAAATAGAACACCCTGCATATGTTTAGTTGTTCGATGCCATTTATTAATCTCTACATTGAAACCTATTCGCTTTTTGATTTTTTGTCAATGCTGCCATCCTATTAATTTTTTTCCGAATTATTACACATAAGCAATCCTTGCTTTGAAGAATCTACCTTATATTTTTGAAGTTATGAAATAAAGTTTGAGTAATAATGTTAATTCGAGTAAAGCAAAAAAAAAAAAAACATTTTGATAATGAGAAAGTTGGATTTAGTGATACAGGGTGTTCATTGTTGCAGAACCCTGTATAAAAATCTCGTATCACGATGTTTGTGGTCGCACTCCTCCGAAACGGCTCGACAGATTTTCATCAAATTTTGTTGGATATTTGGTAAGCACGAGAATAGGTCGTAAAGATTATTTCATACTCCTAGGTGATTATATAGTTCGCTGGGTGTGCGAGGTGAGGTGCAGGTGACGCAGTCGTTATTTCTTACTAGAAATAGTTCAGGCCTTATCCCAAACAAATCCACTGAAAATATTATCGGAAACACTTTCAATTTTTCGAAAAAGGGATCTCTAGATGTGACCATATGATTGATGAGGTGATCGCACTTTACGAAGGTTTCACTGTAAAAGAACGCGACTACTTGGACCAAGCAATTAATATAAGAATTTTCCAACAACCATAATTTGTATTATACTGGCTAAATTCGTTTCGTTATAAACTCTAAAAATCTGAGAATAATTTATAAAATTTCTAACTGATAATTGACGACAACCATGAATTGAGTATAACTGTTATGCAACGTTCAATCAATCATGTAAAGGAAAACGATTTGTCATCGCACCTTTGTGCTTTGAACAATTACAGCAAAAGGCACAATAACTAAATAATCTATAGAAGTGATTTCAACGTTTCATCTATCGATCATGATACGCTTATTAAATTTCTATCAATTATTGTCCAATACCTCTCATAAAAGTCGGGCTATAGGTACGTCACCCTCTTGCATTCGTTTACTGTTGTCCTTATTTCAATCTGTTATCGTTTTCTTGACTCTAGAAGTTTTATTGTCATCTATGATTCTCAGATGTTATCTATTCCTATTTATGACCAATATACAACACTGTTACGAGTCTCCCATATTGCTTTAGTAGCAAATTGTATGTTGCCTGTAGCTTATAATATCAATGAACACGTATTGCCAATTTTGCCAAGTGCACATATTTGTAGGTCTGCTTCTCTAGATTCATTATACCTTTTACGTTCATTCTTCTACTTCTCAACATTTCCAATCAAGTTCGAGAAAACTAGTTAAAGTCTGGCCTTTACAAACTCAAATCTACAGCTACTCCTAAAACCAACAACGTCACCATTTTAACATATATCAATGTACATTCTACATTAAGTAAATAAAAATTGCAATATGAATTGAAGTCCACATAACATTTCACTGATAGA